GTGGCCAGACCTGATCGTCTTTGATTCATGTGTGCCTCTTGTAGCTCTCTAACTTGAGAAACTTGGTCTACAGGAGACAAAGGAGGCGCTCAACAGGCTGCACAAAATGGGTCAATTTGAAAGCATGAGCTTTGACCCCTTGGTGAGGAATCGCACGTTTAATGTGGCTTGTAGGTGCTGTTGTTGTCGTCAGCCCTGGCCACAGCGCTGAAATGGTTTCAGCCCACAGTCTTTCTGGTTCACACTCAGAAATATTCTGAATTTTTGGCCCCAAAATGTGGACATGCAGATCAACAGCACAGAAAGGGCACTGATTTGTGTTTCTGAGCTGTTTTAAGGGAAATGACGTGGAGAGAGCTGTGCAAGTGGGCAGAGAGCACTGGGACTACATCCTTGAAGAGGGCTGGAGATGGGCACTCTCAGGTGTGAGCAATGAGGTTGTGCAATATACGTTGTGTATACTGTGTTTGAATGTGTAGCATACTGGATGCAAAACCTGGTTTTAGCTTTCAACAGCAGTGGATTCCATGTCTGAGGTGGGATACTATGGCAAGCCACTTGTGTCCATGGTCTGCAAGGCACGTCAATGTTGACTGCACCCTGTTGCATGTTCTGCAGCTGGGTGGCATGCAAAACTGCAAACTTGACAGCTGAACAAACAACCATTGCATCTTTTTCTCTGTCATCAACTGTAAGATGCAAGCGCTTTGTTTTTCTTAGCTGTCATTAGCAACTGAATTCCATGGAACAAGCAATGCATCTTTTTCTTTGTCATCATCTGTAAGATGCAACCGCTTTGTTTTTCGTAGCTATTGTTAACAACTGAAATCCATGTAATCTCAAGCCAGACACATCAGTTCATTGAACGTTGGATGTTAAAATCAGGGCGGGCCCACTGCACAGTTGATGTGCGGCTGCCTCCCTTGGATCTTCGCTTTCAGCACATTTGCTGCTGTTTGACAGCAGCACAGCACTTGTGCCCATAGAGGGATGATGTTTGTTCTTCCTCTGCACACATATCTGCTACCACAGTGCTTGTAATTACCCTATGTCACTGCAGGCCCCGAAGGCCTTAGGCCATTTCCATGCCGCAGAAGACAATGAGGAACTCTGCCCACTAATGCTTAACTTATCGCATGTCCCTGAGACTGCACAAATGCAGAGAGATCGGTGACTGTGATTGAGATCACAGCAAGTCTATTCTTTGAGTGCTCGGTCTGTCAGTGCTGTGTATTTGTTGACCGCAAACTTGTCCACAGATTATGCGGAACAAATGCAGAGATAGGGTCCATGATGGATGGCTGAGCATCAACGCGTGTTTTGTTTTTCCAGCTGTGATCGGCATCACGATGGGAACACTTGCTTTCTTGATCGATTTTGGAATTGAGGTGAGCCAGTATCCTTGATGCCTCAGCTGCAGTATGGACAGTGCCTTGGTGACCAGATCACCTGGTGGACTTGGCAGGCATGGCGGTGGTGGTGCAACAATGGCTGCCGGCCCAAATTCGCCAGAAAATGCAAAAGGCCAAGTAGCATGACCCAATGGTGTCAGAAGCACCCCATCTGTCCACACATTTTGGATTGTGTCTGCCAGGCATCAAGACAGCAACCTGTGTTCCTGGTGAACAAAAAGGTTGACTAGTTTCTGGCAGGCGACAGTTTCATTGACTGGGCCCCGAATCTCCAAGTGCACTGCACTTGAGCATGAAAAGTTGCCTTGATGGAGTGGCCAACGTTGACAAAACCTGGCCTCACACACAGGGGATGGCAGACAGGTTCTAAGTGCTCAGTGTTTGTTCCCATGTTGTTCATGATTGCCTTGCCCAATATGTCGATGCAAGAATGTTTTGGTGTGTGCATTCAGCTTCGCATTGAGGTTGCAAAGGTAGTGATTTGTTACATGTTGGGAAGTGTAGCAGGTGGGGATTTGTTCTGGCAACAAACATGCTGAAGTTGTGCTTGCATGACCATACCTCTGTCCGTGAACTTTCATAATGGGTCAGTGTTTGTGTGTTCCTATGTAGTCCCTCAACACATGGAAGTTCAACACAACTCTGGATGCACTGGAGAAGCACGGGGGTTTTTGGTGGCCGTACTGCACATTTGTGGGCATTGCCGTGATTTATGCGACAATTGCAGGCGGTCTCGTGTCTTATGTGGAGGTAAGGAACTGTGTTTTCTGACCAGCTCATGGCCACAGCTGCGAAGGAGGCAGTTGTTTAGCAGGGGTTGGGAGGGTAGGGGGGGCGGGGGGGCTCATCGCTCTTTCCATGACGACTTGTCTGGAACACGTTGAAAACGTGGCTCTCGACCCCCCAGCATGTTATATGGGAAATACCTTCTCAAAAGCTGGGAAGAAGCGTGAACATTGTAGCGCGCCATGGTTTTGGTGCGTGCTGGTGCTATGGCACTGAACTTTGTGCTGTGACAGTCACCAACTGTAGGTGAAGGGAAGCGCTGAGAAGAATGCATCACAGGCTATCCATCCTACCTGCAACAGACAAACGATGCGCAATGAATTGTCCTCCCGTCAATGCGCATACCCACCCATCAACAGCAACAACTGTACATTGGGCACTGTTTTGCTCCACAGTACTGCGATATGGAAGCAGACCAGAGCACAGTTGTGTGTGGAAGGTTCCTCCGACATATGTTATTCCGGTCTTCTTTTGTTTGCATTAAGCATGCACATGACTATTCTTGTATTAGTGGGTTACCAAGATTTGGAGGACCTGATTTGTAACATGAGCCAAGAGAGACACACATTGCACAGTGGGCAAGATAATCACAGCATTGTTTGGTCATCTGACCCACTGCACAATAGACACGTGTTGACAAACTTCCAGTGCCAAACTGCGTTTGGATGTTGGTGTAAAAACACTTGAATGCTGACATCTTTCAACTGGATTTCTGCGGCAGCCCCTTGCTGCAGGCAGTGGAATTCCAGAGATCAAGACTTACCTCAATGGTGTCCACATCAAGGGGCTGCTCCGCCTGAGGACCCTGATTGCAAAGCTGGGCAGTGTGATGTTTTCAATATCCGGAGGCCTGGTTGCAGGCAAGGAGGGGCCCTTCGTGCACGGAGGCGGGGTTGTGGGTGGTGGACTGGGCAGCATGGGCTCCAAGCACCTGACCGACATAACCAAGAAGAAAATTGACATCAGGATGAGCAGGAAGTTCGGAGGGTACTTCAGGAACCACGCGGTGAGGCTGGATTCAACACCGTAATGCACCATTTGAATACCAGAATGTTCTTATTTGAGAATTGAACATTTGGAATGATTTGCAGGAAATATCAAAAATGGACATCATGACGAACCGGTGCATGATCATGAGACTACTGTGACCGTTGTGCAGAATTGCAAGTGTGTGTGGAGATGCAAAGACATCAGTATTGTGTCACTTGTTATGTGCTATTTTATTGTTGTGTGTTGGTTATGGCAATTCTTTCATGGCTTTCAACCTGGAAGAGATCGACACAGGCTGCACACGTGTGATAATGATTGGGTTTTGAAAAGCAGACGCGGCTGATTCAGTGTGAGCACTTGTTGCCGGTGGTGCTCCATTCAGTGGCTCCTTGCAGACATCTATGAGTTTGGAAATGTGGTTGTCATCCCTGGTTACTGGGAATTCAGAACCAAATATGCAATACCTTGATTGCCATTGATAGTAGCATATGTTGGCACAGTGGATGCAGTGGATGGTGTGCAATGTGGCTGAGAATTCATGTATTGAACTGTCCCTACAGGGAAATTCTCAACTTGTGGCAACAGGCCTTGTGGGATTCTCGATAGCCAGTGTCACCACCGTTTCCGAAAACTTGAAAGAATGCTTGTGAGACAGTTGAGTGTGTTCCTGATCCCAGCTTATTGCCAGATGGAAAGAATGTGGCTTGTATTGAATACAAGGAATGCTTGCTTTATCGAATGCAGCCAGTGCAGGTTGGTGTCAGTAAAAGTTTGGCGCTAGCCATAGCTGCTAACAGTATTGGTGCAATTGTTTCATCAGGACCACAGGGATTTTGTTGCCATCGGCACTGCAGCTGGTGTGTCAACTGCCTTTGCAGCACCAATAGGCGGGCTGTTGTTCACCATAGAAGAAGGGGCATCCTTTTACAGCCTGGCAACTGTCCTCTGGAGAGGGTTTCTGGCAACATGCACTGGAATTGCCACCCTTCGATTCTTGGTAGGTTGTCCCATGAGGGGTGATGGTAACCAGGCAGCACAGGAAACATATGCAGCCAGTAACATCACTGATTTAGTGTCCCCTTCCCTGTGTTGCACGACTCTGCCCAGGCATGGTTTTGGTTGTACTTTGTTTGTCTGATAAAAGGGACATCTGAACAAGTGGAAACAGACATCTTTGATGTACTAGATTTGTACCAGCAGTGGCATCACCTCCCAGTTGAAAGTGAAGGTGTTCCAGAGAGTATTGGGCAACGATCCTTTGCTGCCCTTTGTTCTTGGTGCTGTTTGACACTCTTGCATCATGGTCACTGCAGTACAAATTTGAGGAAGGTCAGGTTTGGTGCACTTCAGTTTCCTTCCCCGCGTTGAAATTCAACTAACAGTCCTTTTCTGGTGGATTTGTGCCTTGTTGACTAGGCAGAAGTGCGGGCAGACGCTGGGGTGGCGATGTGGAGTTCCCAGCTAGGCACCAAACGGGACTTTGGCCTCTACAGCGATGGCTACGCAAACTATGGCAGGAACCTTTACTACTTTCTGTGGGAGCTGCCCCTTTACTTGCTCCTTGGTGGGATGGGGGGTGTTTTGGGAGCTCTATTCATCGCCATCAACGTCCACATCACACGACTGCGCCAGAAGTTCATACCTGTCCGTGCGCCCAACCGGCGGCTTGTGGAGGTCATGTTTGTGGCAGCAGTCACAAGCTCCATTGCCTTCTGCCTGTGCTACATCTCCCCATGCAGGGAGCTGCCAGCAGAAACGGATCGAGTCTTTCTCAAGCCCAGGGATGACAATGACCAGGTGGGATACATCTGTCTGATGTGGAACAAGTGTTGTGATGTATGTGAGCGGGCTGATGCAGAGCCACTTGCCAATTGCACTCAGTGTCGTCTGCACCATGTCTGCACGATGCAGAAAGTTGTACAGGTGTCCTGCTTGTGTTCAAAATGTAACACCCATTGCGCAACACAATTCCTTTTTCTTTTGAACCATAATGTGCTTGTTGCTTTTGAGTTTGCACACAGTATTTAATCTTTGCTGAGAGGATGCAGCCCCCCGGTGCATTGCCAGGTTCATCAATTGAAGTTCTCGTCAGGCCTTGTTTGCTTCTGTCAGAAAGTATGTCATCATCCACACATGCAGTCTAAATTGTATTTTCAATCTACTTCACAGCACAAAAGCACAGGTAGTGGACTGATTGGGCAGCACGGGCTGCTTGTTTTTGAGTTCTTTATCCACCTTAAGGCATCCCCCCCACACCCACACCACCACCACCACCACCAGCCCATTTTTGAAGGGCGCACCACTAGTTCCTATGATGTGTAAACCTACATACAGACAGAGACATTAACGTTGTGGAAAATGCCAGCCACATCCCTGAAATGCGATTGTTAAAATTGGCAATGGACTGCCCACGCACATTACAAGCAGAACCACAGACATGTTCCACCCGCCCCCAGATGACAACCAGAAGATGAATGTCATCTCACAAGTTGCGACCTGACCTTTTTCTTGTTGCCCCAGGAGCGTTTCTACCAAGGGGGTGGGCAGTTGGATTACTTCCCCCGGCTGTGGTGCCCCAAGGACCACTACAGTCTGTGGGGCCAGTTCTTCTTCACTCCACTCACAGAGGCCCTCCGCTTGGTGTTCCACATGGGAGAGCCCTTCCCCGACGCACACCCCCAGTGGGAGTTTGAGTCCAGCAGCCTGTTCATCCTGTTTGCGTATACGTTTGGGCTCATGACATGGACGTATGGTGTGGGTGCTGCCACAGGCCTGTTTGTGCCATCGCTCACTGTTGGTGCAACATCCGGAAGACTGGTGGGCAGGTGAGAGGCGGTGGAAATGCTGTCCCTGTTTGCGGCACAGCCAGTTTGGCAGGGTTTATAGTCAGAATGAGCCCTGGATATCACAGTGCAAGTGGCCCCAGCTCCTTTCAGTTTGGGTGTGTGTGGACTATGGCTGGGTCCCATAATAGTTTGGTGGTGACCACAGTGCAGTCTTGACAATGTTTGTGTCAGACCTCTAGGCAGATGGGCATGCTGATGCTTTGGTCAGTTGTTGTGGTCAATATATTCAGTGCAGGCACCAGGCGAGGTTGTTCCAAGTCATCCCACCAGCCACAGTCAGAACATAGGAATGCCAATCTGTCACTGCTTCACTCCCCGCAGCTCATCATCATACAACAGTACTTCAAAGATGCTTTTTGTTGCCATTCTCAGAGTTGCATTGAAAGCTATTCTTTTTCACAATATTAAATGTTCTGTGACCTTGACTTGCAACATCATGCAGTCTTTGTTGCTTGCTGGCAGCTGTCAACCCAAAGCTGAAAGGGAAATTATCTGACAACAATTGTCGATGTGCATGTCTGCTGCAATGCATGTGTTTTCTTTGTTGCTTGCTGGCAGCTGTCAACCCAAAGCTGAAAGGGAAATTATCTGACAACAATTGTCGATGTGCATGTCTGCTGCAATGCATGTGTTTTCCAGTTGTCAAAGTTTAAGTTTCGTTTCTGCTGCGTTCCAGACTTGTGAAAATTACCCTGGACAGGCTAGGTGTGAGCAAGGTGCGCGTGTCTCTTGGGTCGTATGCCATCATTGGTGCGGCTGCCTCCCTGGGTGGCGCCACACGCATGACGATCTCCATCGTGGTGCTGGTCATGGAGACCACGGGTGCCCTGGAGCTACTGGTGCCCATCATGATGGCCGCCTGGGTCGCCAAAATGGTTGGAGACTCTCTTGGCATGGGAATTTATGACACCCACATCGAGTTGCGTGGAGTGCCGCTCCTGGTGAGTCTTTTTAACAACCTACAATTACTTTGTGCTGCTTTTCCTGTGCCTTTTTCTCCATGGTTCCTTGTGTCGTCAAACAGGGGCCTTTGTGTTTCCACCTGATGCTTTCACACTTCTCCAGGAATTGAATATTGGCGATGTTGGCCTTGGCGCCTTGTTTGGTTGCCTCCTGGATGATGGTGCTGTGGAAGGCAGGCATCTGACAATGGAAGCCACTTGCCTGTTAGAATAGGAGGGAATCTGGTTTGTGAAGCTCAACCAGAAGCGCTCAAGTGAACTTCACGTTGTTGACGATAGATAGTCCCTGGTTCTTGCTAAAGCTTAGCCCAAGAAGAACTTGACAATGAATTTGGGATGGTCTCCAATAGCTCTAATCGTACCCGGGACGCATGTCAGTTCCTCACAGCTGACCGCCAATTTGCTTGTCTCAACTATGCCCTGCATGAAATGGTTTGTGTCACCAATGGTTTTTGAAAGCACCCTACCGCCCACCCTGCCACCCCGCCGCCTCTGCAAACTGAAGACATGATCCTGGCTGCCATATTCGAGTATATGCGGTCACTGCAGATCCATGCTTGAATATGACTTGTCACGAGACCTTGCAGAGAGCATTGACTTAAGTTTACCATTCCGCCAGAACGAGGATTCCCAGGACTATGACTCCCGCATGGTGCATGACGAGCTGGCAGTGAGTGAGCTGATGTCCAGCGAAATGGTGCTGGTACCACCTGTCATCCGAGTAGGTGACATCGTCTCAACACTCACCAAATTTCCGCACGGCGGCTTCCCTGTGAGCAAGATGGCAACTGACCCCATCGGGCCTGTGAGCAGCCCTGTTCCAGTGGACGGTGTCATCACACGGTCCCTTCTGCTCAGGCTGCTACAACGGCGTGTGGGACTTGTGCGCAAGGTATGTTCCCTTTGATGTGAATTAACATTGTGTTGCGCGCATCGACACAAAGCGGCGGAAAGTCACAGCAACAATTAATTTAAATTATTGAATTAAATTTAAACTACCGGATTCGTGCTCAAACTTGGTGCCTTCACGCGCCATCCACGGTCAGCTGCCAAGGAACTGGGCATGAGTGGTTGACGACACTAAGCATTTTTAGAATTCCTTTCACGTGCTTCAAGTCCTTTGAGAAACGTTCCGTTTTCTTTCAGCTTCTGCCTTTCAGGTCATTCATTGACTGGAGCTCCCCAAGCTGTGTCAAAGGCCTGCCTAGTGCCTAGAAGCCCTGCAAAAGGCACACTTCCGTTCTAATTGCTTCCCAGCAGGTTAGTCTTTCATTACCCCACAAGCAGAGCCGATTCTGTTGTGCAGGGCCCAGACTCAGCACCGGAGGGTGACTTCCTGGTCCCTACAGACCGAAAGGAAGTCCTTGAGCTGCATGCCAGCATCGAACCGTACCCCATGAGGATATGCCCAAGAACCGACCAGGCCGCGATCCTTCGGAACATCACCGAAGATGATATGGAGGACTTCATCGACTTGAGGCCCTTCATGCAGAGGCATCCATTCTTTGTGCATGCTGACTCCAGGTGTGGGTTGCTGAGAGAACGACCTTGGTCTCCTGAAATGGATTGGCAGTCTTCATAGCAATGCGGGCACCGGATTTGTTGCTGTAGATCTGTGCTGAGCTGCACTGTGTTGCACACCAGCACAGCAGCGGTCAATGTTCCACTTCACCTTTGCGGTCTGATTTGGCATATGCTGGGAACCGCAGTCATGCATCACATACCTGGTAGAGCTCTGTTGCTTTGTTATCTGACAGTTGTAATCAAAACGAGGACTAGCGTGTCCGACTTAGGCTGCAATGCACTGGTGTTCCTTGAGGCTCTGTGTGCTCGCACTGGATCTGTATCCCAGTGTTGCTTGCCCCAGAGTTTCTTTTTCACATCAGTCTGCGTGATGTTTCACAACTGCATTGCGATGCAAACAATACTTGCCAAATTTGGCTGTTACGGATGAGCATACAGGATATCTAGTATGGGAAGCTGACTATTCCATGCTGACCTGTGTTCCTCCATCAGCTTGACGCGCGCCCATCGCCTGTTCCGTACCATGGGTCTCCGCCACCTGTTCGTGGTGCCCCCAGCGCCCATGGTGGTCGGCATGCTTACTCGAAAGGACATCATCCGTGAGAACGCAATCGTGGCCCTGGAGGAGAAGGCCAACCTGGAGATAAGGAGGAAGCACAAGATCAGGATCCGACAGAAAATCAGCAGAAGAGGTGAGGGCGAGCTGTAGTTGCAATTATTTGCTTGCATTTCTCATCAATGGATCGCAGATCTTGGAGGCCCCAATGACTGCATGAAGGTTGTGAGAGTTAGCTTTTAATCAGCACTTACGTTCAGCAATAGCTCTTCTTATAATCACCCTCTGATGTATTGCTTATTTGCAGCGTTTTTGCATTCACAAGTGTATTGCTATTTCCAGCATTTTTTCATCCACAAATGTATTGCTATTTACTTGGGTACGCATTCAAGGTTTGTGTCTCTGAAAGCTCATATTGTTTTGGCCAACCAGGTGTGAAGAAGATGCTCCGCTTCATGCCAGAGACCTGCACGGCTGAGGGCACTGGTACGGCAGTGAAGGGCGCCGATGACGACTACATTGCCAGCATTGCCCGCCACAGGGCGGGCTCATTCGAGCTGGTCGACGGATCGGCCGAGGCGCTGGCCATCCGACAGATGGTCCAGGAGGTGGAGGCCGAGCAGAGTGGCGAATCGCGGGATGGTTCTGGGTCGAACTAGAGGGCGCCTGCCCTTGGAGCGGGTTATGGGATTGAGGTGAGGAGCATGCACTGATGCGAAACGTGGCCCTGAAGACGCAGCTGGAATTTCGTTACAACATGCTCTGCACAGCCAGTAGACGAATTTGGGTGACTTGGTGCAGTTTGAACACATGCTATAGTACACATACTGTGTAGTATTATATAGTATCATACTACACATACTACCCAGTAACAAGTTGTTTGTCATGAATGTTTGATCATTAGTGTTGACTGAAAGGGTCACCCAGCACTGCGAAATGGTGTGGCACAAGGTGGCACAATTTTGGTGATGGTGGTTTGCCGTGTGAGTGCTGGCTTGCTGTGTGGGGCTCAGCGTAATTACGTCCACAGGGTGTAGTAGCTTGGGTAGGTGTTGCACAGACAAAACACCTGCACCGACCAAGGTAGCAGGATGTTGGCCTGGAAAAGCCACAGATGCTTGAGCCCTTCGGCACGCGAAGGGAACATGACATGGTGACCTGATGCGCTGTGAACCAACCAGCATCGACTAGATTTGTCAAACCATCACGAATGTTGGGTGTTGTGTGCATTAGGCGACGCTTGTTGTTGTTCATTTGCATAGATATTGTGATTGCCACATTCATCGCCAGCCATCGCCGCAGTGATGGTCGCCTGTTCTGGCAGCTTCATGCTGTTATGCTGTACGTTGCTGTAATTCACACCATCACTCTTTCATATTCCGCAGGGATTAGTTTACGTTTCTGGATCTGTTCTCATGGCATGAGGACCGTGGACACCACCTCGGTGGGGGTCTATAGACACCAACCAACGCCTGCATCGGCACGTTTGCCAAAACACCCTACCCATGGCGTGGGGCACAGCATGAGGACAATGGGCTTATCTTGTATTTAGTGGCGTCCATGGCGCCTAAGTGCCGTTCAAGGGACTGGCAGCAATAATCTTTGGGACCTTTTTTGTATGTGGAGGGTTGGCATCGTTGCAGGCTCATTCATGCTGCATTCCAACGCCATAGACTTTTGTCGGGTTTTTGGTGCAGAAGTCCTGTCGGCTGGAACCACATGTGCTGTGGTGCTGTTTAGGAAGAGGTGCATTTTGCATCTGTTCATTGGCCTAGATCTGTAGTGGGTGACCGGCCTCTTGGCCCAACAGTCATGGCCCGAATAAATGTCTGGTGACCATTTGCCTTCATCCCAAGTCTTCCACCCTTGAGATTCGTGTTTCTTTTCCTGCCTGGTTCCATTGGGTTTGCATGTCCTGAATTTTTTGAGGCTTTTGCCGCCTCTCGGCCGGTGGTTGAAGCGGGGGCTCGTGAGATGGCTTGACGCCTCTAGCCAAGCATGTAGCTGGTGATGTAGGTGGTGGTCCATATGACATATAGACACAGGACAACATCCTTCTCAATTTCGCTTCATTAGTGATTTGGAGATCCTTGTATGAGCATGGCAAGACCTGGCCACTTTGAAACAGCGAACGTGCTGTTTGCTGCCAATCCGCCAGGTGTTTGAGAAGCGCGCGCTTGCCTGATGTTGCTCGCCTCCGACGCCATCGCACGTTTGCATGGACCCATCCTTTGGTGGCATGTCTCGCTTCGATTATGCGCAGGGCATGCGCCGCAGCGGCGAACAATTTTGCGTTGTGCTCCGCCCCCAAGATGTGTTTGAATGACTCACAGAACGTTTCTACACTTGGAGACAAGCCCTCCGCATCCGTCAACTTGCGAGAGGCAGTCTCCTGACGCGTCCAGCAGGCACTTTGTGCACGGTGAGAAATGGCAGCCAACGTTGGCCCAGCATCGACTCTAGAGGGCGTTGTCCCGAATATGTGGCCACGCTTGTCCTTGGCTTTCACGTGGTGTCGTCATCGTGTCGAGAGGCCGGGCAGGCGTCGGTAGCAGACATCATTCCCAGTGTCCATGACGTCACCGAAATACGTTCCCCTGCTGCAACCGTCGCAGCTGCAGCAGAGAATCAAAACCAATTAGCTTTGCTTGAAAGTGAGGCGCATTGTCACAGGTGGCATTTGGCAACACGCAAGTGTGCGATCTCTGCACACAAACCAAATTCGATGACAACAGTGTACATTGCTTGTACCTTCGGATTCCACGTCGATACGAATCAAATGGATAGTCTGTCTGCACCAAGCCGTAAGCACAAAGCATTCCTCAAATCTCTCATCAAGAATATCCATTTCAAAATAGAGCACCGGCAATGCCGGATCCGAGTTCATCTCCCAAGGTATGAACGCCCATTTTACAACTTGGCCAAGAGCCTTCCCGTGAGCTCCATCCAGAAATCAAACCCTTCGAAAATCACTGCTTAATGACTCTGCAGCTGGCCGAACACATTGCACAGCATCCCGCCTTCCACCATTCCATTGGATTCAGCACAGCACGAAAACTCAGTCGTGAGCACATTATACCGATGGTCTTCGTGCACCCATCTACCACATCTGAACAGCACAACCCGTGATTCGAGGGGCATACTAAGGTTGGCCCCAGCCGCTCTCCTTCAATTCCAAATCAATGACGGCGCGTTTTGAATTGCGCTGAAGTCAAGTGGATCCAAAGGCATACGGCTGTTGACACAACCCGCGCTCTCCCCATGCTTCCACACGAGATAACATAAATCAGGAAAAGAGTGCCCACGAGCATCCTCCAGTCATGGAAGTGCAAGGCGGCATGGTCTGTGGTCCCGTGCAAACTTAGTCACTTTTAATTTTCACGATCCCTTTACCTGTCTGCCGGCAGTTTTGCCATGGCTATCAACACTGTCCAATGCAGCAGTGGAGCCATCACCCCGCTCTGCCTCCCCACCGCCGGACCTGGAATCCCCGTCGCCAATCCCTTTGGGAGCATACCCAACCTCTGATTTCTCGACGATCCTCGGCCCTTCAGATCTTTCCGATTCTTCTAATTCTCGAACCGCTTCCGGAAGCGCCTGAAGAGAGCTCTGAGCGAGTCTTGTGACCGGATCCGGTCCCAAAACTCCCTTAGAATTCTGAAGTGTTGGTTGGCGCAAGGCCGCCCGCTGCTGTGCTCCGAAGCTCTCGGGTGATACCTGGTAGGGATGAATGAATGGATGAATGAGTGAAGGAGTGAATGAATGAATGAGTGAATGAATGAATGAGTGAATGAGTGAATGAATGAGTGAATGAATGAATGAACGAATGAATGAATGAACGAATGAATGAATGAATGAATGAATGAATGAATGAATGAATGAATGAATGAATGAACGAATGAATGAATGAACGAATGAATGAATGAATGAACGAATGAATGAATGAATGAATGAATGAATGAATGAATGAATGAATGAATGAATGAATGAATGAATGAATGAATGAATGAATGAATGAATGAATGAATGAATGCATGAATGAATGAATGAATGAATGAATGAATGAATGAATGAATGAATGAATGAATGAATGAATGCATGAATGAATGAACGAATGACACTGGCCATGTCACGTGTCCCTGCTGAACTAGTTCATCCCAGTACTGGGATTACCTGACTATCATAGTCAAAACAGAATCCCTTTACCAGCGGTCTACAATGACCTCACAATAATTGGCAGAAGCCCCACCCTCGCCGCATCAAGTGACAATACCTGGTAGGGATGCGCCTCAGGCTGGCAGCCAGCTGCCTCAGTGTGCGCCCCCGGACCGTTTTGGCTTTGGCGAGGGCCACAGGCGCCCGGCGGATGGACGCGCCGCCTACCAAGATTGCGGCTGCAAGGGCTATGCAACACGACAGGATGATCCACAGGCCCAGCACCTGCAAAGAAGCGTCAGTTTGCTCACGCCAGGTGACAGACCACGGGACGCAACTGCCGTCGCCTTTGAAATTCAATGCCGCGAGGCGAACCCGCTTGGCCAGAGCCACCCAGCAGCTGCAGGATGATGGGCAACTTTTCTTGAATTCAAGCTCATGTGTGATTGAAGATGTGCCGGCACTGCGGCAGCGGTGAGGTAAGCGTTGTTTTGTCAATTGACAGAATTGATGCAGCGGCTGGCCGACACAGACACCCGCGTGCCGCAGACACGCGCACACATTCTCAAAAGTCATGAATATTCACCTGACCAAACTTGACAGGCCTTGTGTCACTGATCTCGTTATCCTGGGGGCATCCCGTTCTTGGAAGGGAAATAAACTTTTCCACCAGATCCTCCGATATCAATTCCTCTTGCAGGCGCAACACCTCCACGGAGAGAATGTCCACCGCCTCTCTGGGCGTGCTCTTGGGCAGCGCGAAGGCGTAGTCGAACGGAACGATGGTGTCCGGAAGTTTCTGGAGGTCGCAGCTGCTGGCCTTACCGACAGTGTGGGTGACCCAGGGCTCGTCCATCACCACGGCATTGTACTGAGAATTCCTCAAGCGCGCCACCAGCGTTTCCAGTACGTCATCGCCATCCTGGGAGAATCCAAGGGCACGCTTTGTGAGGAAGTCGTGCACAGACCGAATCATTATTTTGATGGGACGCAATTTCCACATTGCCACTATCAATGAGCGAATCCACATATCCTCCATCCATCAATCATTCGACCAATAGATCATGCAATCAAGCCATTGGACAATCAGCCAGTCAATTAATCAATCACACAATCAATCAATAGCTCGAAATGATGGTTCACCAACGGAAATCATGCCGTCTGTAGTATTTACGTTCTTGAAACGTAATGTGCGTCTCAGGCAAACTTTTGCCTCTATATGGGCACCCCTCAAACTCGAGAATAAAAGGAAATTTTCTTTTATTTTACTGCTCTATATTTATTTGCATTACAATTGCACATATGTATATATTTATATTTATATGTTATTTCCTTTTATTGTGGGCTTTAAAGCTCACAGAGGGCTCTTTGCATGCATGTATGGTGTTTCGCATGCAGACTATCAAGTAGAGCATTACCAACTTGGTGATTCCTGAAGTAAAAAGTAAGAAATTTTTTTAAGAAAAAAATCAGAATTTAAGAACGCTCAGATCGTTCAGAGTAC